TTGTTTTTTTTTCTATTGGTCCATTAATCATAATTTTACACAATGTGAAGGGCAGTTACTGAGCTTAAATGATGTAAAAAATGGCAAAAACAGGGAGATATGTTTTTTTTTGTTTGTTTTTGTTTTATTTTATTGGATTGCGAAGAAATGAATATCATGCACGGAGTCAAGTATACCTAGTTGTGACATACTGTCCACTATATGAACAAAGAATTGAATTTATGCAATTTACTTCTGCATCTTCTATTCTTCAAGTGTGTGTGTGTGTGTATGTGTGTGTGTGTGTGTGTGTGTGTGTGTGTGTGTGTGTGTGTGCGCATGTTCCTCTCTGTAAGAACCAAATGCCGATTTCCTGTTAGATGTGCCCCATTTTCAACTCAAGCTTCTCAATTCCTCTCTTTCTGACTGACTAAGATGGACCATATTTGAGGTAGACAAATTTCACACACAGTGATGGTGAGTGACTAAAGGCTAGGGTCAAACTACCATTCAGACATGATTAAACACAGGATTAAACATATGATTGTTAAAGACAATATATCAAATGTTGAAACTGAGGATTTTATTATTTTGGAAAAATATATGCCCATATGATGCCAGCAACACATTTCAAAAGAGGTGAGACAGGGGTATGTTTACCACTGTGTTACATCACCTCTTCTTTTACAACACTCTGTCTGCGTTTGGGAACTGAGGAAACTGACTGCTGTGGTTTTGTGAAATGTTTTCCCGTTCTTGTTCGATAAAAGGTTTTATCTGCTCAAAATTTCAGGGTCTCCTTTGTCATATTTTTCATTTCATAATGTGCCAGAAGTTTTCAATGGGACACAGATCTGGACTGCAGGTAGGCCAGTTTAGCACCGAGACTCATTTATTAAGGAGCCATGCTGTTTTAATACATGTGAAATGTGGTTTGGTATTGTCTTGCTCATCAGCATATGTTGCCAAAACCTGTATATATCATTCAGCATTAATGGTGCCTTCACAGATGTGCACGTCACCCATACCATGTGCACTAAAGCACCCACATACCATCATAAATGCTGGCTTTTGAACTGTGCACCGATAACAAGCTGGATGGACTTTAGCCTGGAAGACACAGTGTCCATAATTTCCAAAAACGAATTTAAAATTTTGACCACAGAATGCTTTTCCACTTTGCCTCAGTCCATCTAAATGAGCTCAGGCCCAGAGAATGTGGTGGTGTTTCTAGATCCTGTTTATGTATGGTTTCCTCTTTGAATGGTTTTAACTTGCATTTGTGGATGCAGTGATGGACTGTATTCATAGACAGTGGGTTTCAGAAGTGATTTCCACTACTGTCTGTTTTCAATGCAGTGCCGCCTGAGGACCCGAAGATCAGAGCAAGCCAATATTTTCTGCCATGACCCTCACATACACAGATATCTCAGTTTTAACATTTGATATGTTGTCTTTGACAATTTTTAATTAAATCTAGTGTTTAAATGATTTGCACATCATTGCATTCTGTATTTATTTACATTTTGCACAGCGATCCAACCTTTTTGGAAATGGGGTTGTACAAAGGACAACTTCTTGTCACATTATATCAGGAACATAAATATATTGAATTTTGTCAATGCTAGCTTTATTACATGTATATATAAACACTGCTCCTTGTTTAATTACATATTTGGGACTTTTTATATGTCTTTCGTGAAGTGTAGATAATTAAGGTGGCTCGGGTTTAAGAGGAAGTTGAAATAGCTTCTGTGCAAAGGTAAAATAAAATAACTCTATTAATACAATTACTGGACAATTTTGTAAGATTCCTGGCAAAAAAGATACTACAGACAAATACGTTTGAACATTATTATTTGTCACTGTTTGTGTAGCAGCTACATGCAATTCAAGGATTTTGTTAATCCAGTGTAAGAAAATATGTTTTTATTTATTTATTTTATTTTTTTCATTTTTTTTGGTAATTGTTAATATCCGAAGTATTCCAACATGCTAACAATGGTGGAACTAAATTAGATATACATATTGAAAGGACTTGATCAATTATAATTGAAATTACAACAACCACCCTTAAAGTTAACACAGCAGTTATTAGATGGAGTGTCTGAATAATTGTCCATTGTTCTTCCTCATTTTTCCTGAGGGACGCTGTTTGAAGAGGGTCCGTTGTGATCATTTTCAGACTGGAGCTGCAAAGAATCAAGTAATTTTCTTATTATGCGTTTAAGTTGGAACTTAAGCCTCCACCAAACAACATCAGAGGTATTAAGACATGATGTTTTAGAGATTACTCTGAACTGACCTTCCCACAGTGACCACAGTGTATAAGATGACAGTTTACACATCAGAACCATTAAGCCAATCTCAGTCTTGCCTAACTTAGTTGCTTCACTTGCGCTGTCTGCTTTGCTTTCTGGGTGTTTCCACATATAATGCTCTGTATCCTGAACTGAATAACTCAGAATCTTATGTATTGAATCAGGGCCTCATAAACAATCTAATGGTAATCTGCATTGCAGTCAAACCTTGTTTGCATTCATAATTTTATAAGATTATTTACCTGTAATCGGTCTTGGAAATGTTTCTTAAAGTAGCAGCAGCAACAGATCCTATCTGCTGATCCTGATCACTTGATAGAGCAGCACTTTTAGCAGCCACATCTGTATGGGAGTTGCCTCTGGTTTCATATGAACTGTATGCTGTAGCATTAACATCACCCTTCACTGGAACTAAGGGGCCCAAACCCTGAAGAACAGCCTCAGCCCATCATCCTCCTCCACCAAACTTTACTGTTGACACTGTGCATTCTGGTAGCTAGAGTTCTCCTGGCATCCGCCAAACCCAGATTCTTCCATCAGGCTGCCAGATAGTGAAGCTGATTCATCAGTCCAGACAACACATTTCCACTGCTGCAGAGTCCAATGGCAGCATGCTTTACACCACTCCAGCCGACGCTTGGCATTGTGCAGAGTGATAGGCTTGTGTGTAGATGCTCGGCCATGAACACTCCTTTAATGAAGCTCGCAACTCTACATGTTTCAGCACTTGTTGTGAGTTCATGTGGTCTGTTGCTTTGTGGCTAAGCTGTTGTTGCTCCTAGATGCTTCCATTTCACAATAATAAGATTTGCAATTGACCAGGGCAGAAATTTCACAAACTGAACTGTGGCAATGATAGAGTTCTATGTCAGTGCCACATTTGAAGTCACCAGCTCTTCAGTAAAACCTATTGTACTGCCAATGCATGACTCTGTACTTGATTTTATCCACCTGTTAGCAACAGTTGTGGGTGAAACACCTGAACTCTTAACTAGGACGTGTCCACAAACCTCTGGCCAATTTATTTATATCCTAAATTTTCATTTATAATCCTAAATGTATCTCTCCTAACTTGTAGCCAGTAAATATATGTGTGTCATGCATAGGGTCACGTATGCTTAGTCTTTGATCTGCCACCAGGGTCACTGCAAACACCGGGGCGGCAAACTACACAGAGCAATGGCCAAAACAAACAAAGAGAATCAAACTCACTAGCAGAACCAATCACAATCTCCATTTCAGCTGGAGGGTGAGACATTTCCCAAACAGTAAAGCCTTTGCGAGTTGGAGTTCAGTGAGAGGAGCTGCAGCTCACTAATCCAGCAAAATGTTTTACTGCAATACACAAAGTAAAGCACTGGATCCAGCTTTGAATTTACTGTCAGTTTTAATATTTCTTACTGCTATCTTGCTGTACTAAGGTCACTGTCACCCGTACCATGTTTGGTGTGGACCTGTTAAACATTTTCTCTTAGTTTGGTCTGTTTTGACATGTGAACACTTCACCCATATTCAAGACCACACCAAACAAGTGAACTTTGAACCAGTGACCCCTGCTTGAGTGTGCAGCTGGTGGGAATGCATTTTTACAATGGTCCACACCAAATGACAGAACTGAACACCAGAGGCTCCTTTTCTCAGTGCACATCAGCGCTGTGTTCTCCATTTTATCTGTCTCTTTTAACATTTTACTCTTTACTAGCGGCAGCATAAGCATGAGCTGCCACTAATAACAGTAGAGGTGCTACAAAATATGCAAAGATATGTTTTTAATTTTGGCTCCTGGATTGCAGAACACATTTTAGCTATGCTTCAGTGATCTCCCTGGTTATACTCAACTTGGTAAACTAATCATAAAATAGCAGAAATCAAATAGTTTGTTTTATTATACATATAGACGTGTCTCTATTGTCTAATTTCCATGTATGTTTTTTTTATATTTTCATGTTGGTAAATGTGGGCACATAGTGTAACTGAGTGATTATATCCCTGCAAAGTTTCTGACCAATGAACAAACACCTGTGTGTGTAAATCAACCAAACCAAATGAATACGATATGATATCCTAAAATCTCATTTATGACTTTAGACCATGTCTTCAACATGGTGGTGGTAGTATGAGGGTAGATTAATTGAGGAAGAACTCCCCCCCCCATAGCTGTAGTTGGACTGATGTAGGACTGAGGAACAGGGAGGAGATGGGGTGGTGGTATTTATAGGGCATTAGATTGGGACAAGGAGTGGTTTCAGGCATGTTCCTCTCCCCAAACTTCAGTTATCACATAACTACATTAATAAGTTTAGTTTTTATTTATTTATTTATTTATTTTAACCACAGATTTTGCCCAACTACTTTTGAAGTGGTGGCGTCATCCCTGGTCACCGCTATGAACCCAGAGCTCAGCTTCTGCCATCTACTTCTGCATTTTCTGTACTTGAAGTGTGTGTGTGTGTGTGTGTGTGTGTGTGTGTGTGTGTGTGTGTGTCTGGCACATCTGTCCACTATATAAGAATCAGATGCTGATCGTCTGTTACATTCACCCCATTTTCAACTGAGCTCTTCCACTCTACACACGTCTCAAATAAAACATCTCAGGATGAGGGTCAGTGTGGTTCTGCTTTGGTTGTGCTTGTCTTGTGTTCAGCTCCAGAGAGCTGACGACCAGCTCGTAGTGGGGGACGAGCAGCTTCTGCACAAGAGACGTGTGGAAAGGCCAGAGCCAGGCCAAAAAAACATCCAGCCTGATGTGTGGACCGAGCTGAGAGACATGGTGGTGGAGCAGAGGGAGCTGCTGGAGTTCTATCAAAGCCAGATTGAAGAGCTGAAGAAACAAAACACAGGTAAATCAAATGATTTGAAATAAAAAAAAACATCCCCAAACACATTTTTTTTCCAAAACTGTGATATTTTTGTGTTTTGCTCAAGACAAAAACCTTAAATGAATATGAATGAAAATTAAACAACTCTGCAAATTTGGAGACTTTAGTGGAATTTATTTGAAACATGTAGTGCATTTTTAATCTTCCATATTTGTTTTTTCCAACATTATATATAAAGTTTGTAAAGACATAATGATTCACAGACATCTGATTTGTTTAAGATTGTTTCAATTTAACATTGTATCTGTTGCCTTTATGTTAAAGCCATAAACAAAAGAATGCTGGAGTTCACTCAAATGAATTCTGGCAGGAGGAAAAAACATTGTGCTGAATTAAATTTGCTGCTGGTCATTAGGTTTTAGCATTTTTATGAAAAAAATATTAAAAGCAAAACATTTTGTTTAATTCATACAACCATGCAATTTTTTTTTTTCTCAGAACTTTTACACCAGACCCATCACATGCTAAATCAAATCTTACCTAGAGTTTAACTCTGAAATTTGACCTCTTTTGCTCAATCTATATGCTTAACATGATATATATTGTCATCTTGGCGAAGAAAAAGACACAAGATGGGCCAAGATTTGTTTTTTGTATTACACCAGCAGAAAAGACACATACACAACAGCCCATTTGAAGGGAAGGTCATCTAGCCATGCAACTCTGCTTAATGGTAGATACTTACCCCCTCACTAAACCCACACCACGACAAAATAACACACATGCAACATATACACTCGCTTTAAACTGAAGAACAGGACATTCACAACATTGAATAACAACATTTCACATTGTTTGTGTTTGACAGCTTTGGAGGGGAGAGTGGTCTCTACTGAAGTGGGTGTGGAAGCACTGAGAGAGGACAATTCATGTAAGACTTGCATGTGTGGTTCATCATCATTTCTCAAATACTTGAGCAACATGATGTTTCTGCATAAACCTCAAAAATAAACATATGCCAGTGTAATGAAATGGGTTTGTACTCAGGCTGCAAGTGCAGAGTAGATTAAGGCTTATAGTACATCACAGGCAGGGGTCAAAAGACAGACAGGAAGGTCCACACAAGCAAAATCTATTAGCAAAAATCAGCTAATGGTCAAACATAGAAAAATACCATCACTAAAAATACCAGTACTATGGAACACGGCTCAGAACTCAGAAATACACAGAGACTTGTCAAAGCCCAAGGCCAAATAAAGATGTTTATATATCACGGGGAGATAAAATCACAGTAACGCACAGCCTCAAGTGGCTTGTTGCTTTTATAAAATGGCGGCCAATAAAAAATATGATACAATGCACAGTTTTTCAGAAAATAATTCAAGTTTTTATTGATAATAATTGATATAAACAAGTATTCCACCAGAAAATTTAGTTCCTTTAGAGTTTGGTATCTTTGCCAAACACACCATAGACAGCTGAATGAAGAGAACGTTTGGTCACCTATCGCTGTATATTGCGGTCATTTTATGAATGTTTTAACTTTTTGTCGTATAACAATGAACATATGATAACACAGCATTGGTCAATACAAAAACCTTGGCATTATAAGTACTTCTTGGTCACCAAATTACCACCGCGAGTCTTATTCAGCACCAACCCAGCAGTACTCTTCTTCATACACTGGGGCTGAATCCCAAACAGCTCCCTGCTCCCTACATAGTGCACTACATAGGAATTTAACTGCTGGATCCTGCAGCCCAACAGAGCAAAATATTCAGACTCATCCACACTAGATAAATGATGCACTATTTGGCTGTAGAGGCTAAACTTTTATAGCTAGCACACTATTTAGGGAGTACGGAGCCGTTTGGGATTCAGCCTAGGTTTGACATGACTTCTGACTGAAACACTTGAAGAGTGCAATCCATTCAAGTGACAATTTTTAGACTTTTATTCTGCTGTTTTACAGTGAATCATACTGTAAGTGCTTTAATGCAAGCCTGTAAAGTTAATGATGGAGTAGTTTAGGCTGTTTGCTATCTTTTAGCCTGTTAGCTAGCTAACCTAGTTCTAGTTAAGAAGATAAGTTGCCAGCCCCTCAGTTTAAACAAAAAAAAACGTACTTCATTAATACACTCGGTGGTCCATGTAAGCAGCATGAGAGTCAAAGATTATTCATTAACAGCTGTGGAGTAGTAATATATAATTTAGTTGTTATGAGGCGGTCATAGCTGTCCGTCCACCATGTCGCACATCCTTATGTATTAACGTCATGCACAGAGGCTCAAAAAGAAGATCCAGCATGATGTTTCGGTCTGAAATGATCTCAAAATCAACATTATTCTGATGAAGATATGATAACAAAGGTCGATAATTCACTCACATCCTTGGAAGACACCTAGTTTTCATCCTTCATGAAGTTTTGACAGTTTTCCTTGAATTCTCTTTCAGTTCATCTTCTCAGGGAAGGGGTCCGAAGTGCAAGCCATGCTACAAAATGTTCTTACATGTTTCCACCAGAGGTGTCTTCAAATCCCCAAAACTTACATAGTGTAGCTTTTAATATGGAAAAAGATGAGATTCGGTCTGACACGGTGCATGTTTCTGTTTGCAGGCAGACGGAAGGTGGCATTCTCATTTGCTTCAGGCTTAAACGACAGTCTTGGGCCACTCTCCACTGACACCATACTGGTTTTCAGTAAAAAAATCACAAATGTAGGCAACGCATACAGTAAAATCACAGGTAAATTCACAGTCAGTACAGAGTACACTGGCTGGTTTGGTTCTTCTCTCTGGTGGTGTAGAGACTCTGTACTGATCCATCTGTTTCTCCTTCTGCAGGTGTTTTCACTGCTCCACTCAGAGGAGTCTATTACTTCAGGTTTAATGTACTTGGTTACAGCAGTTCATACAGGCTGGCTGTATGTTTGTACAAAAATGAAGAGAAAATCTTAGACGTGACTGAATTCCCGAAAGGACAGTATGAGTACGCCGTTGGTGGAGCCACTCTGCTGCTGCAGGAAGGAGATCAAGTGTATGTTAAGCTCAGAAGTAACAGTCAAATAATTGACAACATTGACAACCATTGTACCTTCAGTGGTTTTCTGCTGTTTGCGAAGTGAAATGCTGATGAATTAGTACAGCGTTAAAAATCTCAATCATCACATGGAAATAAACTGCATGTATTTTCATTTTTTACATGCTAAATGCCTTTCATATATGTTGTGTTTCAATCAAAAATGACATACTGCAAATGGACTGTGTACCAAATACTTAGAGTACATTTAAAACGTGACCTGCATTTTTAATGTAGGAGAGATAATTTAACATTGAGTAGCAAATGAAGTGTCAAAATTCATTTAACAGCAAAAACTAGCAGATACAGAAACTTTGTGCTTGTTTGATGCTTTCTTCTTTATTTGATCTATTTTGTGTCAGTACTCTCCTTGTCATTTCTTGCCATTGTCACTGATACAAAAATGAATGTGACATACATATTTTGGACTGCTTGTTTGTATTGTGTTTATTTCCTAAACAGTGTTTGTCATTCAAAGCTAAAAAAACTTTCTGAGAGATCATGTGATCAAAATTGCTTCATTCATGTGATTCATTGAAGTGTGAGTGTAGTCATTTCACAGGAAGCTACACAGAAAACACAAGAAAGTTTTGCCCCTTTAATTCATTTGGTATAGTGTAGTTGGTAATATGACTGCCCTCCTCTTAGCAGTCTGGGGTTTGATTCTCTGCCTGAGCAAATTACACCATGCTATACCAATAAGAGTCCTTGGGCAAGACTCCTAACACTGCATCACCTCCCTCTGTAACACGGTTACATTTTAAGTCACTCTGGATTAACGCATCGGACAAATGCATGCAAACTGTGTGTTTGGGTTTTTGCTCCAAATACCATGAATTAAGCCTATATAAAAAAGTCACTGTTTGTATTTAAATAAGCAAATACATTAAGAGCCTTTGACTGGATAATTACTGCAGTGATTACTATGTTTCAACCGGCATCATTTCTTTTAACCCTAATAGATGCAGTATCTTCTTTTTTAAGCAATCATAATCAGATGTATCCCATGGTTGTGGAGAAGATTACTGTACAAAGAAAACAGCTAAGGAAGCTGCTAAAATTACTGATATTGGGTTAAGAATTGTCCAACGCGTTATTAAAACCTAAAACAATAGCAGTGATCCGTCAACTATGTGAAAGAGAGATTGTCAGAAAAAAAATCCTAAATGACCGTAATCAGAGATCATTTAAACACCTGCTCAAATCGTAAAAAATCGACAGTAGAACTCACTGCAATGTTTCGAAGTGAAAATAAAAACTTTCCCACATGCACATTGATAAAAGCAAACCACTTGTTTTTGTCGGGGAGCATAAAGATTGGAGCATTGGAACAAGGTCATGTGATCTGATGAGTCCAGCCTTATCATGGGACGTGTCAGGGTAAGACTGGAAACACATGAATCAATGCACTCATCATGTATAGTGCCCACTGTACAAGCCTCTGGAGGCAGTGCTATGATCTGGGGTTGCTTAAATTGGTCAGGTCTAGGCTCACCAACATTATGTGGCAATAAAAAGAAGGCAGCTGGTTTCCTGAATGTACTGAATGACCAGGTTATCCCATCAATGGGTTTTTTCTTCCCTGATTGCTCAGGCATATTTCACGACAAGACTTTATGGAGTGGGTCGACTCTCCCATCATCAATGCAAGATCTCAGAGTTAGAGGTGGTCCAACAAAATATAAGAGTGTGTGGCTTTTTTTGGCCAGGCAGTGTTTCGTATTTAAGCCGGGGTTACGACTTTTACCCCGATTTTAGCCCCGATTCTCAGTCTGGTTGAGTCTGTCCAAATTGGCTGTAGACTGCAGATTTTTTGGTCAGTCTGAGTCAAGAGTTGGAGAGAGACGTGAGTAGTGTGTGAGGGCCTCAGCCTCCCGATGGTGTTTCAGACCAGTTGGAGTTTATTGAACGTTTGATTTTTCAACCCGACTCTGAGCGTCATCTAGTGTAACTGATCTACAACTCAATCTGAACGGACTCCTACAGCAGCCAATGAAAACTGAGAGTGCGAAAGAAGAAAATACAGCAAGTAAACAGAAAAATAGTGAAAAGTCTCTCACGTGTGGAGCAAAGCTTTTTAATGAGCTGAGTTTAAGGCACAATCATGTTCACGTACATTTAAAACTCTAAAACATACCACACTGATCACATCTTTAAAGCCATGATCCTCACTTAAACATGTTTACCTGCTGCTTCTTTACTGTGTCAGAGCAAACAGCAGCAGCCGCTACATGTTTATTTATTTGCGTCTCCGAGTAACGGGAGAACGTGAGAGTTAGTGTGAGTTCACGCGAGTTCAGTGAGTTTCATTTGGTTCAGCAACAACTTACAAGTTGAGCAGTGTGTGATCCCTTATCAGTCAGTGTGTGATCCCCAATATTTCCAATTCGCCCCAAAAAACTAGTCGGTGGTTGTAATAGTGTGAGACACCCAGTCTCTTATAATCTGTTAAGACTTTAAAAGTCAGTCATTGTAGTCCAGTTGGTGATGAGAGATAAAGGATCCAAAATAAAATTATATTAATGTGCTTACAAGCAAACAACTGTGGAATCATAATATATCTTATTTACCATAAAACACATTAAAAGTACTGACAGTGTCAATAAAGATTTGCAGAATTTCACAGCTGAATAGACTGATATGTCCTTGACCCTGATTCTGTGTGTTTGTAGATAATTTGTAAAAAGCAAAACAAACTTTTCCTTTTTAATATATAATCATAAAGCACAGTAGTAATGAAATACATAAGCAACAATAAATAAAACAGTCCACAATACACGCAAACACAGTTCCCTAGCTGATGGGTGGGAAACTCCTCAGACAACCTTAACCATGGGGGAAGGTTCCTCTCAGCCCCTTGTAGCTGTGGTGTAGTGGCACTCAAATGGTCAGTCCAGGCAGACTCGTAGCTGTGGTGTCAAGTCGCTCAAGTGGACAGACGGGGAGGCCTCATATGTGTGATGTAGCGTCACTTAAATGGCCAGCCCAGTAAAACCTCTTAGCAGTGATGTAGCATCACTCAAGCAGTCGGTCCAGGCAGCCTCATCGCTCTGGTGTAGTGTCGCTCAAGCAGCCACTCCAGACAGCCACAGAGCTGCAGTGTTGCATCACTCAAGTGGCCAGTCTAGGCAGCCTCATAGCTTCAGTTTTGCATTGATCAAGCAAACAGCACCTATTTTATTAGAATGTTTATATATTATATACATTTATGCAATGATTTGTAGAGATGCATCAAGAAAAATCAAACTAATCAATATATTTAACATAGTAATACATGGAAAAGTTAGTTTAAACGTAGCTCACTGTGTCACCTCCTAAAGTGGCAGGCAAACACTTTCACTTTCATTTCCTGTTTGGAGTGCAGTGACGAAAATGGTAATTAAAACAAGACAGACTCTGTTTATCACTCATAAGTGAGACAAATCACAACATTGTGACATTGGATTTTTTACTTGTTAGGCTTAAAAAGCTGCTTATCTGCTTTTTGTTTGTTTGCTTGCTTGTTTTTGTTTTTATTTTCATTTCAGGTCTTCCTCTGACCCATCAACCTGCCAGATCTAGCACTAATTGTCTTTCCAGGACTTTGTTATTCACAAATTGTGCTCTACATATGCATTATTATTGGTTTAATTCATCTGCTGGATAAGCTCATGTACCATGTTTTTTTTTTATTTATAAGGATGCAGAAGGTGTAATAATGTATTTCTGCAACCCAAATTGGGTAACACAATTCTGATCATTGCTAAGGAGATATTTTAATTACACAAATTTGATTTATGGCCAAACCAGCTTCAAGTAAAGTAGATTGTAAATACATACATACAAGCCCACAGTGCACTTCACCACATATCTGGTGATGATTTTCCCCTGTTTTTATCTCAAAAGACAGGGCCGACACATCTTAGAAAGGTTGAACACATCACATTGTCAAGCAATTACTTTGCAAGTTTTATTAAATTTGTTCAAGTAGCAATATTTTTTCACACTTTTGAATTTTAAAACAGATTCAGATGGATTAATATTGTTACAGTCTAAGATTGTTTCTCTTATTATTGTCTAACTTATAAATAATAGACTGTTAATCAGTGAGAGCCAATTGGAAAAAGTGACGCAAGACAATCCAGATACAGGACAAAGTGAATTAAATGTGCTGCTGTGTCAGTCTGCATTGTGGATTCCCACCAAAAAAAAAACATAGTTTTCAGGTAAAATCATTCTTGTTCTCAACCACCAAATGCTGAGTTTAACTGTTTGCTGAACAGCAAATTTCCCTCATTTGCAGATTCTATATTTTAAGGTGATTTGAATATAATCATGCAGTAACATGCAAATGTTTGGTGCCCTGGTAAAATCATATGATTAGTTGATTTTCTCAAAATAAGTTAACACAAATTGAAAACACAGCTCTGCACATTTTGATACATAATTGTGGTTTATTAGCTGAATGTAACATATGTAAAACCAAATGTGTCCTGTTCCAAACCTATGGCACATTTTAATATGCAGGAAAAATGTCATTAAATTTCATTCTTGTGGAGGATTTTCACTTAGAAAATGATCAACTTCATCTTGAATTGAAAAAGATACATCTTATTATCATATTAAACAAATACTGATGTGCAATTTACATCATCTGCAAAGATTTAATCATTTATGGTAGTGTGCAAAAGACAGAGACCCCCCCTTTAATTTTCTTTCTTTTTTAAATTTCCAGTGCAAATGGCCTTTTTTTTCAGAAAAAAGCAGAAAGCACATTTAACAGACAAGTACACAGAAGCCTCATCGACTAAATCGAATATCAGATGACATCTGTGTTCAGTGAGTCTCTCTTTCCCTTCATTCTAGCTGCCAATCTTTTCAGGAGACTCACTTTCAGTTTCTCAAAAAATCTGCAGACACACCTCCAAAGTTCAGTCTTAGAAGCTGGTTGTACTTTATACTCTTTCAAGGTACTCACAATCATCACATTTATCCTCTGATGGTAGGGGTGCAACGCACTATAACTAATGCAAAAGCATATAAAGCATGACTGATGTTCTAAATGTTCTTCCACACTTTGCATGCAATTACACATTTTCACCAGAGAGGTCTCCAAATCCGCAAAATGTGCACAAAATGCTGAAATTTTAGTGTTGTTGTGATAAAGTGTGTCACAATATGCTTTTTTGAC